GCGCTCGTTGCGGAGGACTTGCGCGCCCGTGGCCTTTTGTGTTCGGCCTTGCGGTTCTTTTCCCTCCTGGAGCTGTCTTCGGATTGGCTCATGGAGGATATGGGGACGCTTGGGTCCGTCCCGGGGTCCGGCACCTTGTCCTCTGCTGCGCGTTCGTCGGCTGCCTTGTTGAAGCTGTTCACGCCGATTTTGCGGGATGCGGTTTCCCTGTTCTATGCTTCCCGTCTCGCGTGTCGGCAGGCGGTGCTGGGTTCCTCCGTGGAATCTGCTTGGGCTCTGGCTCTTAGGCGTTCTTCACCTTTTTGTCCTCTCCTGTTTGGGGAGTCGGCCGTGGCGCAGTTTATTCAGGCTGCGTCGGCGGCTTGTCGTCCGATGTCGGACTTGTTGGTTTTCCGGGGGTCCCGGGGTGGGTCTTCCCGGAAAGGTCGTGCCAGGGCTCGGGGTTCCTCTCGTCGTGGTAGGCCTCTGGTGTCAGGTTTGGGGTTGGCTCCTCCTGCGGACCCTCCCTCGTCTGGTCGGCGTGGTGTTCGCACTGTGCGGGGTTCTGGGTCTCGTAAGGGTCGCCGGCCCTTTCGCGGTTTGCCCCTTTGACGGGGCGATGGGGGGGCGGCTTGCGCTGTTCGCCCGCGCCTGGTCCCACGATTCGTGGGCCTTTCGGGTCGTGTCTCGCGGCCTGCGGTGGCGTTGGGTGGCCCCTCCCCCCTTTGGGGGGTTGGGGCTGGCAGGGCAGGTTTCTTCCCCTGCGCTCTGTCGAGTCATCTTGGAGTGGGTACGCTTGGGCGTCGTCGAAACGACGTCGTCCCTCAGATGGGTTTCCCGTTTGTTTCCGGTTCCGAAACGGGACTGCGCGGACCTGCGGTTCATTCTGGACTTGTCCCGTCTGAACCCCTGGGTTCATTGCCCCTCCTTTCGGATGACTACGCTGTCTCAGGTTCGGCTCCTCTTGGAGCCGGGAGCTTGGATGGTGTCCCTGGACCTCCGGGACGCTTATTGGCATGTCCCGATTCATCCGCGGTTCAGGGACTGGCTCGGTTTTGTTGTGGGGCGTCTGAGTTACCGCTTTCGTTGTCTCCCGTTCGGGCTGAACCTGGCACCTCGCGTGTTCACGCGCCTTACACGGGTTGTGGTGGCTCGTTTGCGTCTTCTGGGTGTTCGGGTGTTGGCCTACCTCGACGACTGGCTGGTTTGGGCTCCCAGCCAGTCAGCTTGCTTGCTAGCCAGGGATTTGGTTCTTTCCCAGCTCGCCGAGTTCGGGTTCTTGGTGAACTGGAGGAAGTCCCATCTGGTTCCCTCTCAGGTTCGGACTTGGCTGGGTCTCGTGTGGGACTCTCGAACCGCCTCCTTGTCTCTCCCTCCGGAGTCTCTCCTGCGGCTGCGGTCCCACCTTCGTCTGTTTCTGGAGGGCCCTCGGGTCACCCGGCGGTTGCTCGAGGGACTGTGCGGGAGCCTGAACTTCGCGATGGTGGTCTACCCGCCGGGTCGGGTTTGGCTTCGACGGCTGTTCTGGTTCCTTCGGAGTTCCCCCTTCCGCCTCTCTCGCGATCGCAGAGTTCGACCCCCGGGGGCCTTGCGTCGGTTGCTGCGTCACCGGCTTCCTCTTCGGGTTTTTCGGGGTTCAGTGCCTTGGCGCCTACCCGAGCCCTCGCTCGATGTGTACACAGATGCGTCGTCTCTCGGCTGGGGTTTTGTGATCAGTGCTCACCAGGCCGGCCAGGGGCGTTGGGGTCTGTCCTTCCGTCGAGCTCACAGCACGGTGCGGGAGTTCGCGGCAGTGTGGTTTGCTCTGGGGAGGATTCGGGTGGCCCGCGGATCGACGATTCGGCTCCATTCGGACTGCTCTCCGGTGGTTCATTGCCTGAACCGCGGGGGTTCGATGCGGTCCTTGTCTCTTTGGGGTTGGTCGCTTCGGGTGACTCATCTGCTGAGTTCTCGGGGTTTGGCTCTCCTGGCGGTTCACGTACGGGGCGTGTCCAACGTCTTGGCCGATGCCCTGTCTCGCTTCGTTCCCCTCTCCACGGAGTGGACGGTCGACGACGAGTCCTTCCGTTGGCTTTGCCAGACGTTCGGGCGCCCTGAAGTGGACCTCTTCGCGTCGGCGTGGTCGTGGCGTCTTCCCGTTTATGCGGCGCCCTTCCCCGATTGCGAGGCCGTTGGGGTCGATGCCTTTCGGTTAGACTGGTCGAGATGGGGGTTCCTGTACCTCTTTCCCCCGGTTCGGCTGTTGCTCCAGGTCCTGACTCGCTTAGAGACTTACCGGGGGAGAGTTGTCCTTCTGGCCCCTTGGTGGCCGGCCCAGCCTTGGTTTCAGGCGCTGGTTGCTCGGTGTCCGAACCCGAGGGTTTTCCCGCGGCTCCGCCTCTTTCAGCAGATCGGGCCGGTGCGTCACGTAGCTGGTTCGATCTTCTCCTCGAGTCTTCGCGTATGGTTTTTTTGACTCGAGTCTATCATCATCTCTATGGTGAACAGGTGGCCTCCTTGTTGGTGTCCCACCTGAGGGCTTCTTCTCGGCGGCAGTATGAAGTTTCCTGGCGGTCCTTCCGTTTCTTTTTGCGTCTTCGTCGTGTTAGCTCCTTGTCTGTTCGGGTGGTCTTGTCCTTCCTCTCGTGGTTATTTCAGGACCGTCATCTTATGCCTAACACTGTCGCTTCGTATCGTGCGGCGCTGGCGGAGCCGCTTCAGCTTGCTTTCGGTATCGATGTTACGTCTGCGCCGTTTCGCAAGCTGTCTCGTGCATTGTTTCACCTCCGGCCTGCTCATGCGTCGCCTGAGCCGTCCTAGTCTTTGGACAGAGTGCTCGCTTTCCTTTCATCTCCTCGTTTCGTTGTGGCCCCTTCGGTCCAGGATTGTTTTTCCAAGGCACTTTTCTTGTTGGCTTTGGCCTCTGGGGGTCGGGTAGGGGAGCTTCATGCTCTCCTCCGGCGCAGGGGTTTCTGCTCTTTTGGTCGTGGTGATTGTTTTGTTCGTTTGCAGCCGTCTCCTTCTTTTCTGGCGAAGAATGAGACTGCTGCGTTCCGGAGGGGTCCATGGGTGGTTGATGCTAGGTTGGTCAGGCCAGGGGTGCATCATGTTTTGTGTCCGGTTGCGGCGCTTCGCCGTTATTTGCGCGCCACAGCTTCTGTGTCCGGGGATGCGCTGTGGGTTGATCCGGTTTCCCTTCTTCCCTGTTCGCGGGTTCGGGTCTCTCAGGTCGTCCGCAGGGTTATTAGGTCCAGCCAGCCTGCGGTCTATCCCCGTGCCCATGACGTTCGTAAGTTCGCGGCTCTTGCTGCCGTCTTTGGGAATATGTCTTGGTCTGATATTCGGGCGCGGGGATTTTGGCGGTCGAACAGGGTCCTGGCTGCTCGTTACCTTGTGAATGTCCCTGGGCCTCGTCGGGCCTGTGTTGCTTTGGGTCAGCGGTTGCAGCCATTTGTCTCGGCTTCGAGTTGAGGGGTGAGCGACGACCGCCTCCCGGGTAAGTCCCTCTTTTTCTGTCTGTGGGTAGTTAGCTCCGGGGAGCCGACGGGGCTCCCCCCAGAAAACCAGCGTTGAATGTAATGAAACGCCATTTTCTGAGTGAGTCCCGGAGGCTCCCCGGCATCCCTCCCTCCCTCCGGTCGGCGGTTTTTCGCGTTTTTGACATCCAGCCTCAAGAACTGAGGTGTGGGTAGCCGGCGCGGGGGGTCTGGGGCTCCCCCTTCCCCCTCCCGGGGAGGGGGGAGCTGCGCAGACAGCGGCGCGGCAGTGTGTGACGTCACACTAGTTTGCTTGTTTTCGGTTGGGGAGTTCTATCCACTAGTTCGGTTTTTGGTAGCAATTTTAACCAGAATAGGGGTTTGTTTTGGGGCGCTTACCTTTCTGGGTGCCTGTTCCGGTCGATGGCAGACATAGAATGCTTCCAACTACACAGGGGCATCTATAGGCCATTGCTCCCCTTGACTCTCTGAGGGGGCCCAGTTCTGGCCGTGGTCCCCGGTAGGCCTAAGAACTCCATACACATGACTGATGCCAAAGTCTGACATTAGCATATCAGCTGGGATAGCTCCGGGGAGCCTCCGGGACTCACCCAGAAAATGGCGTTTCATTACATTCAACGCTGGTTTTTTCAAAATGGCGGCTGTTTACTATAGCCCCTGAGTAGCATATGGGGACCCCCTATACCCTGCGGGACTTTCAAATCGTGCATGGTAGTCCAAAGCATCATATGATGCGATGCGCAATTTACTGCAAGTCGGGCAAAGCATCATATGATGCGATGCGCAATTTAAGGATTAATGCCTCTAACCTCTCCTCGTAGCTCTTGTCTTTCAGTTCCGGGAGCCATTTAGTTGCAAGTCTTTGCACTTTTTTCCAGTTTGTTGATGTGCTTCTTAAAATATGGGCACCATACAACTGCTGCATATTCCAGCTTTGGTCAAACAAAAGACGTGAACAATTTCTTTAGTATTTCGCCATCCATACAATTCTGATGTTAGAAAATGTAGGATAGGCTCTTCGCACGATATTCTGTATGCGGTCCTCAGGTGATAGTTTTCTATTTAGAACCACCCCTAGATTTCTTTCTTTATCACAATTCTTTAAAGATATCTCACATAATTTATAGGTTGTGTGGGGTCTATGTTCTCCTATTCCACATTTCATATCATGGCATTTATTCATATTAAATTCCATTTGCTAAGTGGTGCTCCAGATACTTATTTTGTCCAGGTCTTCTTGAAGGGCATGACAATCATCTAAGTTTCTTATCTTCCCTACTATCTTAGCATCATCAGCAAACATGTTCATATAATTCTGTATTCCATCTGGTAGATCGTTTATGTAGATAATGAACATTACCGGTGCAAGAAATGAACCCTGTGGTACTCTATTCGTGACATTTCTCCAGTCCAATACATTGCCTCTGATTACTGCCCTCATTTTTCTGTCAGAAAATTGTTCATCCATGTTAGATGTTTTCAACACGTGTGTGTATGTGTTGTTGTTCTGCTCACCTAATTTATTACTCTTTCCTTTTCTTTAAGGCTGACAAAATATCAACGAGTAGTTGTGAGAGTGGAGGAGAAAAAGCGCCACAGTCTCAGCAGACAGAAGCTCCTCAGTCACAGAGTCAATCATCGCAGTCTTCTCAAGTCCAGTCGCAGGAGCAGCAACACCAACCACCACAGCCAAGTCCTGTGATAGTTGCTCAGCCACAGCCACTTCAACCACAAACACCCTCCCAGCAGCAACCTTTGTTGCTTCAGCAACCGCAACCTCCATTAAATTATCATCCCCAAGTAGCAGCACAGTACCAGCAGCCCAATGCTGGAGCAGTTCCTGCTCAGGTGTATCCTGCACAGTACCAGCAGCAGCCTCTCCCTCCCCAGCAAGTGTTGCAGCCAGTTGCTGCCATCTCACAGCAACAGCAGCCTCAACAGTTACCCCCTCAGCAGTTACTTCCACAACAGTTACCTCCTCAGCCATATCCAGTTCAGCATATTCCTCAGCAGCCTGTTGGAATAGCAGGTCAACAGGTGTGTAGTGTACGAGTGTGGTAATAGTCAGTGTTGTGTGTAAATACATCACAAACCTCTTGTTCATTCCTTTCTTATCTTGCTAGTTTTTACATTTTTTAAATATACTATAATTTTTCTGTTTGCCATTCTAAGTAATTTGAAAGTTAATTTAATGTATTACAAGATAATTGATTCTAGTTTTAATGAGTGTTTATGTTAACAGGTGCCAAGTATGGTACCAGTGAGTGGCATGGTTCAAGATGGGATGATGGCAGTGCCCATGGCACCAGTAGTACCTACCAGTATACCTCCAGGAGTGGCTTACCCACAAGGTGTACCCGAGGTCATACCCCAAAGTATGCCGCAGCACCTTCCCATGGGTGGCATACATCACGTGATAGGTGGGGTAACCGAGGGCCTTGGAGGCTTCGTCAACCAACCCGTCCAGCAGGTTTCCCTCAGTAGTGACCCTATTAACTTGGTGCTCAGGGTCAGGTGAGTAAGAGGAACTTTACTGTGTTGATTGGTGGGGTTAGAATAGTTTCCCTGCTCTGTCCCTACACATCAAGTAGTGTTTTCTATGTAAGGCCTAGTTATTTACCTGAATTTACCTGAGGGCCACTGCTACTAGTGGCCTCGATGAGGACAGGAAGCCGGCGACTTTGACAAGCCACCGTCTAAATTTGCAGCATATTTCAAATGTCCTATTGATGATTTTTTTTGTGGGGAGCCCCTATGGCTCCCTGAAGCTTATCGGGCTAATGTATGTTATATTAGACCGGGACATTAGCTAAGGAAACATTAGCTAAGAACACTAGCTAACTCCATCAACAAGGTAAGGAGTTCAGACCTACCAGGGACCAGCGCCAGAACCTGGCCCCTTCAGAGAGGTTTCAGAGAGCAATGGCACTGAAAAACCCTCTTGTGGTTGGGGTTTTCCTTATCTGCCATCGACCAGGGTCAGGCACCCAGAAAGGTAGGCATGATAAAATAAACCCCACATGGTAAAAAACTAAAACAAAAAACCGAACAGAGAGGTAGAAACTCCCTACACTCCCAGGAAACAAGCAAACATCACACTTTACTGCAGCGCCGATCATCCGCGCAGCCCTCCAAGCCCTGAGAGGGGGAGGGGGAAGCCCCGGACCTACCGCGCCGGCTGCCAAGCTTCAGTTCATAAGCTAATGTCAACCGGGATAGACACTTCTCTGGCCTCAGTTTCCTAGGCGGTGTTTGCCTTCTGTGGCGTTCACTGCCGTGTGTTGTGTTGTGCGGTGGCCAGGAGTACCTCATCAGTGCTGGGGCTGCATGCGCTTCGTGGCTGACTTCCCTAAGCGCCCTGTGAGTATTGCCCTTGCGTAACAGGGTTATCTTCCTTGGGGCATTCGGGAACCATTCCCGTAGAGGTTCTTGCTGCTCGGCATTTGCCTCGCCCTTGGGGCCAGCTGGGGCTTGGGGCCCTTGTTTGGCCCTGGGTAGGGATTGGTATTGTGCTGGTTAGGGCGTCAAGGTGTTGCACAGCCTGCCACCTAAGCGGCGACCGGTACCTTTTGCCTCTGGAGACAATGTACTTTTGCAGAGTTTTTTTTTTTTTTTTTTTTTTCAATTGCCTGGTGGGGGTCTGCCCAGTGTGGCTATAGCTCCACTGGTAGTGTTTGACGGCCCTCTGCTAGGCCCCCGTGATTGTACACGACTCAGGGGTTTTCAGTGCTATCCCCTACCGGTTTAGCAACACCTTGCCCAGGCTTCCCGTAGCAGTCAGCCTACGGGCCCTGGAAACCCCTGTCTGGGCTTGGGGGACCATTGAATGTGTTCCGGGTTCCAACCTGTCGTGTATGGGATCGTTGGTTGCTATGCCCTTGTCTCCGGGTGACAGTTGCCACTTTTTTCTCCGTCATGCTGCCTGTTGGGTCACTGACACCTTGACCTGGAGTCGTGCGAGAGATTTTCTCTGCTTGTTCTCCAATACTCTCCTGATGTTATTACTGTTCAGATTACAGGCGGCATCTGTGTTGCAAGCTAGGTTAGGTTGCTGCAACATGCTAGGTTCGTTTCCCACTTGGATGCCCCGAGGCTGCCCCATTTTGGTTAGGTGCTGTTCACCCCTTTCCCTCTCTGTTCCCGGCTCCGGACCGTCTGCGGGTTTCGAGGTTGGGGCGGGGTTTAGTTGGGGCCGAGACTCAGGCAGTTTTTGGGGGCTGCCCTGTTCGGGTTGGGGGACGGAGGTTTTCGAGCCGGTTCCTCCTGCCAAGGCTTCTGGGTCTTACCAGCGGCCCTTTCTTGCTGCCTTTTCCATGGACTCTTGCTTTTCTTTAAGGGCGGAGGGTTTGGAGGACGGCTCTGCCCCGGGGCCTCTGTTGCTGGTTCCCAGGGCTGTGGGGGATGCCTGCTAGCAGTTCTGGGGCGGTTTGCCCCTGCCTGGGTTTTCTGCTTTTGGGCGGCATTTTTTGCCCATCCAGTCTGCTTGCTTCCCACTTTTGCTGGCGTGTTTTTGTATCTTTAGCGTCAGTCACAGCCCCTGTTCTGGCGGCCATTTTCTTCTGCCGGTTTCCCGGCGTGGCCACCAGGGGGGCGTTGCGGTTTGTTTACATGCGACTGGGTGTGCGAGCGAGCTTCTTGGGTGAGTTTTTACCTTTTTTCATGGGTTTTATTCTCCTGTTGTCGTTTCTTTGCTTTTCTGGTGTTTTCTGCCCGTTTCCTGTTCCTCTGGGAACGTTTCAGTGTTGATTTTACACCGAGTTCTACATTTTGTCTGTTTTGGGTCTGGGCCTTTGGGTTTGGGCTCAGTGTCCCTGGCTGTTATGCTTGCTCCCACACCTTGTCCCTCGGTTTTCGGTCTGTTATGACCTTTTTCCCAGGGGGTTCTGTCTGGGAGCTGTGCTTTGCCTTTCTGTGGTGTTTCTCCGCCAGCAAAATGTGGTGGTTTGGCCTCCCCCTGGTTCGATTCTGGGTTCCTTTGGGTTCTTTGATTTTGTTCCGGAGGTTTCATCCTCTTGGGCCCCTTTGTGGGTTCTGGGGGCTTTGTTTCCTCGTGTGTGACCCGGTTTTTGCCTTCTGGAGTTCCGGGGTCTTCCTGGTTTGCAGACTGATCTTTTTGGGTCTTGGCACGTGTTGTGGTCGTGCTGGGACTTTGAGGTTTTGTCGAGGTGGGCCTTTTGATGCAGTTTTGTGCCTTCTTTGCCTGGCCGGCATGTCCTCTGCCCACTGGTCGGCGGCTTGTAATTTTCTTTTCAAGTGTATGTGTGTGTGTACGCATGTACGTTTGTACACTGTGTGTGTGTGCACATGTGTCTGTGCATACGCACGTGTGTGTCACGTACCTTGTGTGTGTATGTGTATATGTATGTGTGTATACATGATATGTATATATGTGTATGTATACTTTTTCTTTCGGAAGGGGCTCTGTTCCCTTCTCTGTTGACGGAGCGCTGGGGGAGCAACTTGCTCTGTTGACTCGTATGGTCCTGCTGTTGGTGGGCGCTTTTGGTTGTTTTCCGGCCTCTGGTGGCGGCGGTTTGGGGGGTTCAGAGCTGGCGGGGTGGGCTTCTTCCCCTGCGCTTCGTCATGTCATCTTGGTGGGTGCGTTGGGCGTGGTCGATCTGCCCCATCCTTCTGAGGTTCCCGTCTGCTCTTTGCAGACATGGGCCTTCGAATCTGCGGTTCTTCTGGACTTCTTCAGTCTGCGCCCTGGTTTCTATGCCCTCCTCGGAGGACTGTTGCCTCCTGTCCGGCTTCTGTTGGGGCCGGGTGCCTGGATGGTGGCCCTGAACCTCCAGGCCAATTATTGGCACTTGGTGTATTTTTGCATCTTTACCAGATCTTGGTGCCCTGTCTGAGTCTGCTTGAGATTCGGTGTCTGGCCTACCTCGATGACTGGCTGGTGTGGGCTCCCAGTCGGTCTGCTTGTCTGCTCGCCAGGGGTGTGGTTCTTTCCAGATCGCCGGGTTTGGTTTCCTGGTGATCTGGAGGCCATTCCATCTGCTTCCGTCATGGGTTCGGACCTGGGCCTTGATTAGGGCTATTGAGCCACTCCTTGTCTTTCCCTCCAGAAGTGTTACTGCGGCTGTTGTCCCGCCTTCGGCTGTGCATGAGGGGGTCCCGGGTAGCTCGAGCGGTTGTGCGGGACTCTGAACTTCGACGTGCTGGTCTGCCCGCGGGGTCGGGTTTGGCTTCGGCGTCTGTTTGGTTCCTTCAGAGACTCCCCTTCTGCCTCTTACACTCTTTGAATTCGTTCCTCTGGGATTTTGTGTTGCTGCTGTATCACCAGCTTCCTCTTTTGGGTTTTTGGGGTTCCGTGCCTTGGCACCTCCTCGAGCCTTCGCTCGATGTGTTCACGGACAGGTCATCTCTCGGCTGGGGCTTTGTGACCAGTGCTCACCAGGTTGGCCAGGAATGGTGGAGTCTGTCCGTCCGTCGGGCTCACAGTACGGTTCGGGAGTTTGTGGCTGTCTAGTTTGCGCTTCAGAGGGTTTGGGTCACTCGGTGCTCTACAATTGAGGTCCATTTGGACTGTTCTCTGGCGGTTCTTGCCAGAACCACAGATTTTCTCTTGGGTGTTGACCTTTGGGGTTGGTTCCTTGGAGTAGCTCGTTTGCTGGATTCTCGGGGTTTGGCTAACCGTGAGTTTCATGTCTGGGGTGTGTCCTGCGTCCTGGCGGACAGCTGTCTCGGTTCATTCCTCTGTTCGCGGATTGGCCAGTCGTCGCCGACTCGTTTCGTTGGCTCTGCCGGACATATGGACTCCTGGCCATGGACGTTCTTCGAGTCGGCGTGGTCTAGGCGTCGCCCATTTTATGTGGCGCCCTTACCCGCCTGCGAGGCGTTCACGTTGGATGCTTTTCAGCCGGACTGGTCGAGGTGGGGGTACCTGTTTCTCTTCTCCCGGTCCAGCTGTTGTTTCGGGTTCTAGCTCGGTTGCAGCCCATTCCCACGAGAGCAGTCCTTATGGTTCCTTGGTGGCCGGCTTAGCTTCTTTTCAGACACTGCTTGATAGGTGTCCGAATCCAGGGCGTTTTCCCGCGGCTCCGCATCTTTCAGCAGGTCGGATCGGTCCGGTACGTGACTGGTTCGGCCTTCTCCTCGGCTCTTCGCAACTGGTATTTTGACGCGGGTATCACCATCTCTGTGGTGTTCAGGTGGCCTTGTTGATGGTGTCCCACCTGCGAGCTTCATCTTGGGGACAGTATGACGTTTCTGGTTTTTCTATGCACTTTTCTTGCTCTTTGTACGTTGTCTTCTCTTTCGCATCGGGTTGTCTTGTCCTTTCTTGGGTTTTTCTGGACTACAGTTATTTGATGTTTTCCTACTGTTGCCTCGTTTTATGTGGCGCTGGCGGAGCCGCTCCGGGTTGCGTTCGGGGTGGACGTCACATGTGCCCCGTTTCGTGCTCTTTCTCATGTTTTGTTTCACCTCCGGCCTGCTCATGCGCCGCCTGCATTGTCCTCGTCCTTGATCAGGGTGCCTTCTTCTCCTCAGTTTGTGGTAGCCCCTTCGGT